TACCTCCACTTCACATAAAACTGGGCTTGGTGAAGCAGTTTCTAAAGGCCTTAGACGAAGTTGGCGACTGTTTCAAAATATCTATATCAGAAGCGAAACTTAAAGAAGGGATTTTGTTGGGCCTCAGATTAGGAAATTGACTTCAGATGAAGAATTCGAAACAACAATAAGGAAGGTTGAAAAATAATCGTGGATTGCCATTAAAGATGTTATTGACAAGTTTTTAGGAAACAAGGACCCAAGTTATGAAAACATTATCAATAACATGCTCGATAAATTCAAAGAATTGGGTTGTAATATGAGCTTGAAAGTTAATTTTTTACATTTGCATATTGACTATTTCCCTGAAAATCTTGGTGCCATCGGCAAAGAACATGGGGAAAGGTTTCATCAAGACATCAGGGAAATGGAGAGGAAGTATCAGGGAAGGTGTAACATCAACATAATGACTGATTACTACTGGTCATTCAAATGACCAGATGCAATACATAAAAGAAAAACCACAACACCTAGTTTGGAGACTAAAAGACGTAGATTTCACAAAAAAAGTCAGGATAAATGAGGATGCATATTCATTTGTCATCATTGTTCTTCCCTTTTCTTCAGTTTGTTTGTATTTTTGTTAACAAATATAAGAAAAAATGTTCATTGTGGTAAACAAAATGATAATTTGATCTAAATAAGATGGTTTTTTCTTCCTGATTTGTAAAAGATCCTTACATAACATACAAAAAAATAAAATTATCAAAATCTGTGTAGCTGAATTATGGAAAATCCGTTACTAAAACTAAAACAACTTTTATGAAGTTTAAATTCGCAGACCTGTGTTATTGGAGAAGTTTTTAGCTTCAGGTTTGTTTATTTACAACACTAGTAAAACAAACTATTGGAGAAGTTTTTAGCTTCAGGTTTGTTTATTTACAACACTAGTAAAACAAACTATTGGAGAAGTTTTTAGCTTCAGGTTTGTTTATTTACAACACTAGTAAAACAAACTATTGGAGAAGTTTTTAGCTTCAGGTTTCTTTATTTACAACACTAGTTAAACAAACTATTGAAGAAGTTTTTAGCTTCAGGTTTCTTTATTTACAACACTAGTATAACAAACTATTGGAGAAGTTTTTAGCTTCAGGTTTCTTTATTTACAACACTAGTAAAACACATTATTGGAGAAGTTCGTAGCTTCAAATTTCTTTATTCTATGCATTTTTATTGTATAACAGCATTGTTATTTTGTAGTTAGATGTAGAAATGCCTTTTTTATGTACAGGTTTTAATGATCATTTTCTGTGATATATTTTTCATTTGTACATTTGAAAGATTTAATATTGAAAAGTTAATGTGGCAATTTTCTCTAGTTATAGTTTAGTGAACTGTTTATAAAATTCTTTTATGAAAAAATATTATATAATTGAAAAATAATATATTTAGTTTTGTTTGAAATAATCGTTTTGACTGATTTTGTCATTGTAATTAAGTTTGTTGATAAATATATTGTTGAAATTCTTGTGTCATGAGAACTATTTAAACAGTTTCTTGCTATTATTGTTAGATTTCACCCTGTAAGTTGTAATTAATAAATAATCGTATTGCTACTGATTGCACCTGTTATGGTAACCACACAGTCTCCATCACTTTGTTAATTTGCCAAGTGTGTTCTCTCTCATATAGACACTGTTGACTCTGTGGACTATTACAGCATCACTGAAAGAATTGAACTGGTTAGTTGTTTTTTTCTCTTGTTTGTAGTAAATGTTACATACATTTTTAAATTACTTAAAATGTTCTGCTGATCAGTTGTATGGTAGCAGCTGACAAAAATAAATAGTATAGATATTTAGGTTTCAGTTCTTGCTTTATAGGTGTTTAGGTTTCAGTTCTTGCTTTATAGATATTTAGGTTTCAGTTCTTGCTTTATGACATTTAGATTTCAGTTCTTGTTTTATAAACATATAGGTTTCAGTTCTTGTTTTATAAACATATAGGTTTCAGTTCTTGTTTTATAAACATATAGGTTTCAGTTCTTGTTTTATAAACATATAGGTTTCAGTTCTTGCTTTATAAACATATAGGTTTCATTTCTTGCTTTATAAACATATAGGTTTCATTTCTTGCTTTATAAACACTTAGGTTTCATTTCTTGCTTTATAGACGTTTAGGTTTCATTTCTTGCTTTATAGACGTTTAGGTTTCATTTCTTGCTTTATAGACATTTAGGTTTCAGTTCTTGCTTTATAGACATTTAGGTTTCAGTTCTTGCTTTATAGACGTTTAGGTTTCAGTTCTTGCTTTCTTCATTGTAATACAGTGCCTCAGCTATTAGGCCTCAAATTCTAATATCTAATACTAACAAGGTTAGAATAATTTTTGTAATATTTTTATGTTCATTTTTAATGCATAAAACAAACGAGTATTTTGATTGTAAGGTCCTTTGTTCTCAAAATGTAATTCAAGTGATTTTAGGCCCTGCTAGTAAGAACAGTAATTCAAATTACATTTTGAAGTTGATGGTACCTGTTTCAAGAAGACTAGGTCCAGATGATCTAGCTGTAGCGTCGTTAGTTACTCAAGGTCCCAAAGTGAGAACTCTTACAAAAAAACTGACATTTTGTAGTAATTTTGCAAATTAAAAGAAATTACAAACAGATCTACTTTGAGATGTTCATTTTATTTATTGAGTATAAAGGTATTGTATTCCTCAATTAAGATTATCAGTAAATTAAATATTTTACAAAATAATAAAAACCATATAACCTGAGTGCAATCGTGATGTCACTCAACTTCCTGTATGTATCACTCATTCGATCACACCACCATTCCCAGTTTGCCCCTGAACAAGAGAGGTCCATCTTTCACTCAGGTTATACGGTTTTTATCAGTTTGTATCAAGACCTATGTGTTTTTCTAACATCATGAATTAACTGTGGAGTAACATCTCTGAAACTTTTAGTAATAACTACATATATTTTGAAAATTGTGGTAATTGAGGAAAATATGGTCTTTGCAGAATTATTTAATAACAACCAGCAACTATAGATATTGTCTGTTTCTCAGGTTGTTAGCAATGATTGGATGCAGCTAATATCTGTAAAAGAAAAACAAAACAAAACCAGTACCTAAAAGTATTCTCACAGTATAAAGAAATCAGTGATCTTTGTACCCTTCTTTTATCACGAGAAAAATATTTACAAAATGCTAACCTATCCTTATAAGATAAACCTTTAATCCCCAAAATCATCTTTGTAGCCCTTCTGTGAACCCTTTCCAGAAAACCAATATTCTTTCTCAGATAAGGAGATTAAAACTGTGCAAAGTGTTCCATGTGAGGCCTAATCAGTGATTTTTAAAAAGAACTAATGACCTCTTTTGTTCTGTAATAGTTATTTTGTATAAATACACCTTAAAATTATATTAGCTTTACTATTAGTAATGTAGCCCTACCTCAATGGTTTGAGTGATATGTCAACCAATATGCCAAGATCATATGCTGCATTCATGCTATATAGTGAGTTCCCATTTATGTTAAATATGTGATCCAACTTATAATCCCAGTACACCATCTAACTCGTACTGTAATTAAAGGTCATTTGATAGTTATTTGTCCAGCTAACCAATTGATTGAAACCAACTTGTAGTACCTAACCATCCTCTGTATAGCTAGAAATAACCAAGACTTTAATGACATCATCAACATTTATTAGTTATTACCCTAATAATGTCACTAATGTAAATAAAAGAAACAAAGATTGACCTCAGAAGTGCACCACTAGAAACAAATAAAAAAGATCCAACTTGACTGAACTCCATTAACTCTCTTGCTACAGGCTCAGTGGATTACATTGACTACGTGACCCCCAAAGTGACCGTCATAGTTTCCATACTATAACTTCCAATATAGTTTTCTTTCTTCATGAAATGCTTCAAGCTTTTAGTAAACATTACAAGTCTTTTGTAAACAAAAAATCATAATTTTTAATTAAGTACTTTTAATAAATATTTGTCTGTGAATATATGGATTCAGAGTGTTGACTTCTCTGAGTGCAAAGTGATTTTCATGTTCAGATTTAAAATATTTTACTTCATCTGAAAATTTTCAGATTTCCTTTGCATAACCTTTAAAACCTCCTAAATAAATGTTTTTTTGTTTTAGAATACTATATTTTATCTGCTATTTTCTCTATCCTAAATCTATATGGGGTCAGTCAATTTGACTGATCTCGTAACCCTGTAAAACTTTAAAGGTTGAAAAATGTGAAATATAATGAGTAGTACTTAATTGAATAAATAGAGATGTTTAAACTATTTAGTTTAACAACAAGTAAAAGCTTGGAATGGTTTTTTTTTTCAGTGGGGGGGGGGGGGGTGTCTGTGAGCCAGACTAGTTTCGGAGAATTCCACTCCTCAT